TCTATGCATTCTTCTCAACAGGAGAAGGCAGGAAAAGAGGGGGAAGCAAAGGGACTGTCACTTTTCTCCCACTAACCATTTTTGACTGAGCTGTTTCTTTTGTTGTTGTTTTTTGTTTGTTTGTTTTTTTGCTGACCCCCCAGTGAATTGGGAAGGTAGATAATCTGCTTCAGCTGTGTGCACTCTGCTCTTTACCCTGTCTTTTGCTTTGTGTGACTTGTGCATGTAATTCAGACCTCAGACACTTTCCTAGATGGTTCCCACAAACAGAGCTGAGCTGCTATTTGCCTTTTATCTCAGAACCAAGCCAAGAGCTATCACTTCACTGTCACTTCTAAGCTGTCTTTCTTGTAACCAAATCTAGCTAATAAAATGAATGAGCCTCAAGTGGGTGGGGGAATATCCCAGATAAAATATCTGTAGGCCTCTGAAGAGTCAGCAACACTGCCCAGAGTTCCTGTGCTGTGAGCATTTTCACCTGTAAGTGTGCTATTTTCTTCAGTTACAGAAGCAGAACAGACAGGGATTCTTGCTGGGTGGTTCTGCCCAGTCATGGTCCTCCAGCAGGCAACAGGCAGGAGATGTCACTGTCTAGAAGCATTTAGCAGAGGTGACCCAAAGGAGCAGCTGTTGCCAGTTGCTTTTTGGCTTCTGGTATGTGGCAGTGTCAGATCCCAAGTAATGCTGCCTGAGACCTGGGCACTAGCTAGGCAGCGTGGCTTTCCCTACAGTATTCTGTGGAAACCAAAGAACTTGTCTGCTAATGTTGACTGTCATCTGGGCAACAGATCAGGAACGACTAACTCCCACTCCTGAGGCACAAGCTACAACAATGGCTTGTGTAAACTGAACAGACAGTCAGCCTGGGATAAGTCTGCTTTCCCATTTGTGCAGGTAGTGGTGGCTCTTAGGACAGCTGAACCTGGCTGTTACGTATACTGTCTGCACACTGGCATGGTCACCCCATTGCTTGTAGCAGTTGAGGCAGCCTAGATATCACAGCACTATGTTGCAGCACTTCTTCTGTACTTCTACCTCTTTTGCTGCCAGCTGAACTCTCATTTTTATGGTCCCTTTTACTAGATGAAATGAGTTCTTAGCTAATTGTAGGACCTAGCCCTGAGAATATCTTCCTAGCTACTGGAATTCAACACAAGCTGAGTGCTGTCAGGCTAGGCTAGCGAACCTAAATGCATAGATGATAGCTGGGTAGATTTTTGTGAAGCAAAAGATATAATACCACCAGTTATAGTCCTCAGCAAGTTGATTACTGTGCTGGCATGAGAACAAGGGCTTCTCTCTGGAATCATATCACTTGCTAGTAGTGTAGAAATCAATCTGAAGAGGTTTCTAAACAAGAAGAGTCTAAACCTTACATCTCCTAACTTGTGGCAGTGGGATAGCTTTGTGGACAGGAAAGTGTTTTCTTATTACTGTGCTGCAAGAAGACTTGGGCTAGCAGAGTTGCCCTTGCAGCACTGACGTGCTGCTGGCAGGCAGACCTGAGCATTGTGTTCCTCTGGCTGCAACAGAAGTGTCTCAGCTTTGGGGAGAGGAGGGAGAGAATTGTTTCAAGCAATTGTCTTGAAATATGACTTTAGTGGTAAAGCAAGGGAAGTCTGAGCCAGGAGGCTGCTGTCCCCTAAATCTCTCCCTGCCTCCCCATTTCCTGGACACCTGCAATGGCAACATGCTCTGTAGAATAGTTTCTGCCTGAGCAAACTTCAGCTGTGCCAAGGTACTGGGGCTGTAGCTTGCAGCTGTTTAACTCTGTTTTGTGTTTTAGCGGCAAACAGTCAATCGCCATCGATGACTGCACTTTCCACCAGTGTGTGAGGCTCAGCAAGTTTGATTCTGAGAGGAGCATCAGCTTCATTCCACCAGATGGAGAGTTTGAGCTCATGAGGTACGGTGTGGGGGGATGACCAGGTTGGTATTGGCAGCTTGCTGCTGCAGTGGTGCTGCTGGTCTTGGACAGACTTGCAGTCCTTGAGTACTAGAACATGCTACACTTGCCTTCTTTCTTTTCAAAGTGCAATCTGTAGATTGTTCTGTAAGTCCTTATTTTACAGATGTGGTAGAAACATAGTTGCGTGGTTTTCTTTCTTTGCTTGTTAGCATGCTCAGCATGCAGATGCTGTCTTTTTGGGAAGCTGGTATAATTTGAGAGCTTGAGGGAGCTCAACTCCTTCTCAGAGTTTCCTGTTGTTTTTGTACCTGCAGATACCGAACCACTAAGGACATCATCCTTCCTTTCCGTGTGATCCCCCTGGTGCGGGAGGTGGGTCGGACCAAACTGGAAGTGAAGGTGGTGATCAAATCAAATTTCAAACCTTCGTTGTTGGCCCAGAAGATAGAGGTAAGCTGTGGGCCTATTCTGTCTCTCTGCTTGTTGTCCCCTGCTCTGTTGTCCTCATAGAAGAGTTTTCAAACTTGCACAGGACTGAAGTGAACTGAGTGCTTACAGATGTGTGGTGGTGCTGCTGTGCTGTGGAAGAAGAGAGTGCCCCTGCTACAGTATAATTTCTGTTCTCTATCCTTTGCCTTTCAGGTCCGGATCCCAACACCCCTCAATACCAGTGGAGTGCAGGTTATCTGCATGAAAGGGAAGGCAAAGTACAAAGCTAGTGAGAATGCCATTGTGTGGAAGTAAGTGAGCATGCTCATCAGGGTGCTGTGTGGGTAGGGTCTGGGAAGGCAGTCTGTTCAGTCTGTTCAGTCTCCATCTGCACCGAGCATGTATAGTGAAGAGGAGAACTAACTTGGACACCTTGTCACTTCTGTGCTTTCTCTGATAGGATAAAACGAATGGCTGGAATGAAGGAATCCCAGATCAGTGCAGAGATTGAGCTGCTGCCCACCAATGACAAGAAGAAGTGGGCTCGGCCCCCGATCTCCATGAACTTTGAGGTGAGTCCCTGTTTCCCTTCCGAGGTGCTGCTGACCTTAGAGAGGCTTTGTCAGTCCAGCCCCTTCTGGCCTCCTCGGAACTGCACAGCTCTGAGTGCTCCCTGTCCCCAGCTGTTGTGCAATTCTACCGATCAGCCAGGTATCAAAGCTAATGGAAGAATATTGTCCTTACAGCCGCTGGGGTCTGTCACCGTGCGTGTGGGGAGGGGCGGCTCTTTGAGTCTGTTCCTGGATGCTTAGCCTAGAGGTCCTCAGGTTGTTGTGTGTGGAGAGTATCTTATCACCATGTTCCAACTTGATTTGCTGCTTTTCCTTTGTTCAACAGGTCCCATTTGCGCCCTCTGGGCTGAAGGTGCGTTATCTGAAAGTCTTTGAGCCAAAGCTGAACTACAGTGACCACGATGTGATAAAATGGGTGAGGTACATTGGCAGGAGTGGGATCTATGAGACCAGGTGCTAGCCCCAGCGGGCTGGCAGGCTCCCTCTTCTCCAAGCCATCCTCCACGTCTCCTCAGTCTTCAAGTACATTCAGAGAACATCTGCCTGGCCCCTCTACGCAGATCGACAGACCCTGCTCACCTGGGAGCAGACTCTCCTGCCTGTGCTCAGTTACCACCCATGCTGCAACTGAAGTTCAGAATCAGGTTGTGTGCAGGGTTGCAGTCAGCCTCCTGCTCCCTGTCCCAGGGTGGGGAAGGGCTAGTCTAACTCCCATCCTCTCGTGATCTTTCTAGGGAACGTCCACCATTAAACTACTCTTCTGTTGGTGTCTCACTACTTGCATCATATCCTAGTATTTTTGAAGTTCTTGTGCATATGTACTCGTAGAATAGACCTAAACATAGACTGGACAAATCTGAGTTGAAGTTACCCTGGCTTCTGTACTAGCTATTGCTGTTGTGGTAGATGTTGCTGGCCAGTCTGGGATGCCTGAGGTGGTGAGTTTGTTGGGCTTCTGCCAGAGGAGGTGGTGGGCTCCTTGGATCTTGCCACCTTCTTATTTCTTGCAAAGTCTTCAGTATAGAGTCCTGCTTTGGGAAGGTTTGTGACCAAACAAGGATGAGGGTTTAGACTCTTGCTGGTGTGTATGTGGGTGGCACAGCATTTCAGGTCCATAGAGCACTTACCCCAACCCACTGCTGGCTTGAGCCAGTGATTCCTTTCCAAATGAATTGGAAATAAGGCCACCTCCATCCCAGGGGGTGTGGGTCAGCTGAGCTCTGTCAGGATGTGAACAGGGTCTGTCCTCTGGAATCTAAAATGCAACTGGCACTAAGAGCCCCCTGCCCCAGCCTGCCCTCTCCGCACTTCTACCAAATGCTTCTGGGCCATAGGAATGCTGCTGCTACCCACAATCCTGCTTCTGGTAGTGTGGTCTCCATTTTGTACACTTTGTGATTTGTCCAGCTCTGAATCTAATAAAGTATGTAGAACGGAGAAGGCTGCCCGTGCTGCTCTGTGGGAGTGGTGGTACAAGAGGTGGGCTGTGCTCTGGGGCCATGCTTTTGTTGCTTGCCCAGCTCTGGGCTGCTGTAGGGGTAGGTAAGTGAAAAGAAGGAGGAGTGCTTGTATTCCTAGCTTGCCCAGGGCTTATTTCCAACTGTGCTGGTGCTCAGTTCCAGCTGTAGCTTCCACAGCTGCCTGGTATACGCTGAGAGGCTCCTAGTCCTGAAAGCTACAGTGGGGCTGAACCTGCACTTCCTACTGCCTGCTCAATGTGCATTCAGCTGCCTGCGTGTATGAGCAGCTGGAAAAATCCAAGCTTTTGCTTTTTCCCCCGTGCTTTTTGGCAGCTGTGGGGAAGTGCTGTGCTTGGGGTGCCTGAGCACGGACACAGCCCCGCAGAGCGAGGAGGGCAGCTCCTTTTCTGTGAGCCTGCTCTCGGAGCACGTCTGTAAAAACGAAAGCAACAACAAAAATACCAGTGGCCGCGCAGCAAAACTCCACCGGCGCTCCGTGCCCAGCGCCCCACGTGGCAGCGCGCCCCCGTGTCCCGCACTGCGCACGCGCACTCCTAGGACTCCATTTCCCAGCACCCCCCGCGCTCATGGCGCCGCTCTCCCGGCAGCCCCCGCGCGCCGCCGCCGCCGCCGCTCCTTCCGCCTGTGCCGCGGGGCCGGGCTCCGTGCGGCAGCACTGGGGCCGGGCCCCGCTCCGGCCGCGCCATGGCGTCGTGTTCCGACATCCTCCGCAGCGAGTTCCCGGAGCTGGACGGCGAGGTGTTCGCTTACGTGACGGGTGAGCGCCGCCCCGCCTCGGAGGAGTCGCGACAGAGCCGCTCGGGGGAGGGGGGGCCGCCCGTGGTTTGTGTCGCGATAGGCATAGTGTCGCGATAGGCATAGCGCCGCGTGCCCGCAGGGATCCTGCACAGCAGCGGCGCGGACTTCGAGTCGGTGGACGAGCTGGTGGAGGCGGTGGGCGAACTGCTGCAGGAGGTGTCGCGGGACGGCAAGGACGAGCGGGCCATCCGCGAGGTGTGCCAGCGCCTCTTCAACTGCCTCCAGCTGTAAGCAGCGCCCGGCCGCCCCCCGCCCCGCCCGGCCGCGGCTCCGGGGCCTCCCGACCCTCCTCTCTCCCGCAGGGACGAAGCCCGGGCGCAGCGCTGCAGCCAGGTGCTGCTGGACGCCCCCATCCAGCTCTCCCAGATCACCGACGGATACGGTGAGCGGCGGCGGGCTGAGGCTCCTCCGCAGGGCCGGGGGGGGTCGGTGGGGCGGCTCAGCCCCAGCCCTGCGTCCCGAACCCCGCACCCCTCTGCCTTGTCCTGGGACTGAACTGCTGGGATGTGTGGAAGCTGTCCTCCTGTCCCTTCATCTTCGGGTTCTCCTGTCCTTCGGTCCCCCGTCATTCAATCCTCTGTCCTTCAGTCCTCCGTATCTCACACCCTTTGTTCCCCCCATCCTTTAACCGCCCCCATCCCCTAGGAGAGGGGACCCCACCACTCACCCCCCTATCCTCTGACAGATGCCAGCACGGACCTGCTGCCAGGGCTGCTGCTGAAGAGAGGACAGACATCGGTAAGCAGAGGCTGCATCCTGTGGGTGGGCTGCTGGGATAACCCTTGCATGGGGCTGCAGCTCTGGGGCCCGCTTTGGTCCCCTCACCTGCTGGGTTTGGCCAGGACCAAAGGTAGCAGTGGAACAGGGGGGTACAGGGGAGCCGTGCCTTTGCATCATTGGTAAAGCTCTTGGCTTTGATTGTGGAAAGGTTCAGAGGGAGCTAACAGGTCATTAACTCGATGAGCTCTATTTTCCTTTATCTTAATGAGCACGGTCAGTCAAGCAGTAATGCTCAGAGTGCAGCGTCTCTAACTTCAGGAAGGACTTTGGCTTCTACAGTACAGCTTTGATTGAGCGGTTACGACGTACGTGGGTGCTTCTTGTCCTGCTCAGTGAGAGCTGAGCCCCGTGCAGCAGTTAGATGTGGGGCAGGTTGTGCTCCGCATTGGCTGTCTCCAGGCTTAACTCTGGAGACAGTTGTGCAGATACAAAGCCAGGACAGCGGCAGCTGTGTGCTGTGGGCAGGACCTGTTGTGGCGCTCTCCTTCCCTGGGGTACACGTGGAGCTCCTCATGTGGAGGCTGAGATCTAACGCGATATCCGTGCATGTGAACGGGAGCCTTCAGGGAGAGCTGGCAGCTGCTGCTGGTGTTGGCACTGGGACTGCTGTCTGGTTCTCGTGTCTTCAACTCAAAGATAATCTTCAGAGAAATTGGGAAAGATTCAGAGGAGGTCTTGGGAGGCCTCCCAAGTCTTGGAGGACACCTCCTGCTGGGAGATTTGAGGAGCTCTGTATTGCTTACAGAGTGACTCAATGTGTCTCTAGGTACTGGGCTACAGCCGCAGTAACAAGATGCTCTCAGCCTAGCGTGCAGGTCTGTAGTGTGCTCCTGTGGCTGAGAGCTGCCTAGAAATACCTGGGAGTGCTCTCGGTCAGCCACAGGTATGTGACTTGATGCAGGAGTGAGCTGAGAGCCTGGCCAAGATCGGAGGCCAGGTTAAAACACTGAGCTGCTTCTTGCCTCCAGGTTTAATTAAATGTTTTTTGGCTCTGCCACGATTGATCCTCTGCATAACCTGAGTTAATTTCAAACTGGCTAAAGTTTAACAGGGGGAGGAGAAACGCTTAGTGGTGCTGGCTGGGCTAGGTGTATGGTGAGTGAAGAAGGTGCTGGGATCACTCAGGATCACAGAATCGTAGGGGTTGGAAATGAAATCTGGAGATCATCCAGTCCAACCCCCAGGCACGTTGGTGTTGTTGAAGTGCCTTGGCTGACTCAGGTCCCTGAAATCAGAGAAATGGGTCATGGGGAAGAGCCATACAGGTTGGGGTCAGCCAAACTCTGCTTGCTGAGGTTGGACCGTGTCATACAAGCTGTTGGTTTAGGACTGCATTCCTGAAGTTCTGTACTGGCCCCATTAGCTACCTTGAATCTGTCCCATTCCCCAGTCCTAACTCCCTTCTGCCTTCCGTTCCTTCCAGGCACGAGGGACTGACAGATCTCTTTTCTCTTGGAGCTGGGGTTTTGGGGCTTTTGCTGAAGATGTGCTCTCACACTTCCTTTTGCCCCAGATGGTGAACGCCAAGAAACTGGAGAAGGCAGAAGCCAAGCTGAAAGCCAAGCAGGACAAGAGGATGGAGCGGGATTCTGTGAAGTCATCTGGTCCTCCGTGAGTACAGCGGTGCCTCCAGCACACCCAGACTGCTCTGGCTGGGATGTGAGCACACAGAGCTTTCCCATTGAGCCCCATCTCTGCATTCTGCCTACTGCAGAGTCCTCGAGGAGGCGACTGCCAGCCAAGCTGCCAGCAAGAAGGAGACCCGCATGGAGTCATCGGGCAAGAACAAGTCGTACGACGTACGCATCGAGAACTTCGATGTCTCCTTTGGTGAGCGGTGAGTGCAGGTGGGGAGGTGGGACTGATCCTGGCTGGGCCTTCAGACCACATGTGAGGTCCACATTTGAGAGTGGTGGGGAATGATGGGAAAGATCAGGAGGCCATGTGGCCCACCTCAGCACAGCCTGAAAGGTGCTGGTGGGCAGGTGGCTGCTGGTTGCCTCTCTGTCCATGGGGCAGTCTGAGCAGGTACCTGCCTGTTCCCTCCTTTAGGGTCCTGCTGGCAGGAGCAGACCTGAACCTGGCGTTTGGACGGCGCTATGGGCTTGTGGGCAGGAATGGGCTGGGGAAGACCACACTGCTGAAGATGATTGCCAGTCGGAGCCTGCGCATTCCCTCACACATCAGCATCCTCCACGTGGAGCAAGAGGTGGCAGGTGATGAGACGCCGGCCCTGCAGAGCGTGCTGGAGTGTGACACCACTCGTGAGAGCCTGCTGAGGGAGGAAAAGGAGCTGACTGCCAAAGTGAATGCTGGCAGGTGAGATGCTCATCGCTAGGTTTCCAGCCGTTCTGCAGCCTTTTATCTATAAGATCTTGCTTGCCTTAGTCCTGCTCGGGGTGATCAGCCTCCCCCAGCGCTCAGATCCTGACCTCTTCTTGTCTCGTCTCTGCTCTGCTCTGCTCCAGGGGAGAAGGGACGGAAGGCGCCAGGCTATCGGAGATCTATGCCAAGCTGGAGGAGATTGAGGCAGACAAGGCCCCGGCGAGGTGAGACAGCCCTGTGGCACTGCTGTCTGCTGGCATGGCTAGACGTGGTTTGGAGCACAGAAGGGCCATACTGTGGCCCTGCAATCCTGTGTGTGGGGACGGGGACTCCTCCCTGCTTCTGTTCCCTATGTCTGTCGTAGTTCTGCGTTAGAGATAGTTGAGCTTCCCCAGAAGCTGGAGGTTTTGTTGTTGCTTTTTTTCCTCCCAAATGGCATTGTTACTGCTGCTCCACTCAGACCTCCCCAGATTCCTGCTGTCTAGGGAGTAGCTCTGGAATACTGGTGATAGTGAGCTGAAAGCTTCTTGTCAGTCTCCTGGGACTGCATGTGGATGCTGTGTCTTCCTGAGCTGCGTTTTGCAGCCAAATGCTGCTCTTGGGCCTGCAGGGAAGTTTTCCTGCACCACGGTGGCCTTAAGCTATGTAGCAGAGTGCCTGTGGTGACCATGGGTCCAGGAGCTCAGACTGAGCTCTGCAGACAGATGGTGTATCTGTGTTCCAGTTCTCTCTGCTTTTCCCCAGGGCGTCTGTCATTCTCGCTGGGCTGGGCTTTAACGCAAAGATGCAGCAACAGACAACCAAGTAAGTCTCCAGGCTCTGGGCATCAAAATTTGAATGGACTTGAGTTATTCTGATTAAATTGTAACCCTTCTCTGCAATCTCTGCTCTTCTCAGAGAGTTTTCTGGAGGCTGGAGAATGAGACTGGCCTTAGCCAGAGCCCTGTTTGCCAGGTTGGTGTCTAGGCTTTCATTCTGTTGGTTCATCTTCCTTGCTGTCTGTGCTGCAGGGGGCTGGGGGACTGCCAGGGGGTCTTCTCAGACTGTCAGGGTGGGGAGCTTTTGAGGCATTGCAGCTCTGTGTGTGGTGAAACGTTCTCTGCCTTCACTCTGTGCTCTTTTTGCTTCTGATGCCCATGTCTTGGTTTCCCTAGGCCAGACCTCCTTCTGCTGGACGGTAAGTTGATACCACAGGTCCCTCTAACCCTGCTGCTGGGCCTGCCCATGCCCTTGCTGGGCTGGGAAGGCAGCGTGGCCTTTAGCTGCCTGCTCAAAATAGCTTGGCTGACAGGACTGTCAGTGCTCTCCAGCAGTGGCGTAGAGCCATCCTCACCCGGGAAACATGCTTGGGCAGCCACTTGGGCTGGTCACTGGTCTTTCCCATGTAAAAAAGCATCATCCAGCCATCCCAGTCCCTCCTGACCTGATCTTGGTGCCTTTTTTCTCTTCCCTCAGAGCCGACGAACATGCTGGATGTGAGGGCCATCCTGTGGCTCGAGAACTACCTGCAGGTAGGGGTGGGAACAGGGCAGAGGTGTGCTGGACGTGCATCAGGGGACGGGGACATCCTCCCAGGCTGGTGTCCTGCCTTGCTGGGTGGTGGCACTCGGGCTCCCTCAGATCTCCCTCTCGCTGTCTCCTCCAGACCTGGCAGTCGACCATCCTCGTGGTGTCCCACGACAGGAACTTCTTGAACACAGTGGCCACGGACATCATCCACCTGCACTCGCAGCGCCTGGACACGTACCGTGGGGACTTTGAGAACTTCATGAAGACCAAAGAGGAGCGGCTGAAGAACCAGCAGCGGGAGTACGAGGCGCAGCAGCAGTACCGTGAGCATATCCAGGTATGGGAGAAACCAGTAGGACTGGGACACTTCTCCCAGCCTCGCCCCTTGCTCCTAGCAAGCATCCCAAGCTTCCCGTATTCGTTGCTGCTTAGTCCTGCAGTGATCTGTGGCTGTGGCTCTGTTGTTGCAGAAGGCTTAGCGGCGCTGGGGTGGCTGTGGCTGAATGAGATTTTGTCACTTGTAGGTTTTCATCGACCGCTTCCGCTACAATGCAAACCGGGCATCCCAAGTGCAGAGCAAGCTCAAGTTGCTTGAGAAACTGTGAGTGCCCATCCTGCTGCTCTGCAGAGGTGGGGAGGGGGCAGTGCTGATGGGAAGAAAACAATGTTCCCAGGCGAATCTGAAGGACACTGTGTCTGCAGGGATGGGATGGTTTGGGCTTTGGGTGCTGTGTCTCTGGTCTGGAGGCTTTGGCCAGGATGAGGCTCTGCAGAGCTGAAGTCTGTATGTGGGCTTCTGGTGTGGGGTTCAGAGCAAGGCACCTTAGTTACACTGTGGCGTTCCTATTTGCAGGCCAGAGCTGAAACCCGTGGACAAGGAGTCTGAGGTGATGATGAAGTAAGTGTCGCCTGAGCCCTTGCTTGGATGGGACCCAGCTTCCCTTCTGAGCAGAGTTCTGAAGTTCCTGGCCGTCTCTCACCTCCTCCTGCCTTCCCAGGTTCCCCGATGGCTTTGAGAAGTTCTCCCCTCCTATCCTGCAGCTGGATGAAGTAGACTTCTGCTACGACCCAAGTCACTACATATTCCGTTCCCTGTCTGTCTCCGCTGACCTGGAGTCCCGCATCTGCGTGGTACGTGGGACTGCAGAGTGACAGTGACCCCTGGGCTCTCCTCTCCAAGTCCCTGCTCAGAGCAAGGCCAACTTCAATGTCAGGGGTCCTCATCCTGAAGCTGTGTGCTTGCAAATGGGGAGCTGGGCCGGCTAGTCCTTAAGGTCAGGGATTGGGGAACATGTTCCAGCAGTGCTGTGTGATCATCCAAGAGGGCTGAAATTCCCTAAGCACTGCCCCATCCCCGAGGTAGCTCTGTGGGTTTCGTGCTCTCCAATGCTGCTGCTGCTTCTGTAGGTTGGTGAAAATGGAGCTGGCAAGTCGACCATGCTAAAGATCTTAATGGGGGAGCTGGCACCAGTCAGAGGGATCAGACATGCACACAGGTACCTGATAGGAAGGGCTGGGGGGGAAGGAGTGGTGGCTGCTCACCCACTCTTGTGGCTCTTCCTGCAGATGGGGCTGGGAGCGCTGTGGTTACAGGGCCAGGTGCCACTTCCCCATTTCTTCTCATTCTGCAGAAACCTAAAAATTGGCTATTTCAGCCAGCACCACGTGGATCAGCTGGACTTGAACATCAGTGCTGTAGAGTTGCTGGCTAGGAAGTTCCCAGGTAGGTTCTGGAGATGTGGAGAGATCTGGGCCCTCTCCTCAGCTCCTGCCCTCAATGTTCCAGTCAGGTTTTCCCACTCAAAACTTCCTCTTGGGCACTGCTTCCATGCAGCCGCCGCATCCCGAGGCACTGGGTGCTCATGTGCTATAGCCACGTTGTGCTGTGCTCTGCAGGGAAGACAGAGGAGGAGTACCGGCACCAGCTGGGGAGCTACGGTGTGTCAGGGGAGCTGGCTGTGCGCCCTGTGGCCAGCCTGTCCGGGGGCCAGAAGAGCCGGGTGGCCTTTGCCCAGATGACCATGTCCTGGTAATTCTCTCTTAGATGCTCTTAGTTTTTGTATGGCTGCATCCCTAGAGCTTGCTTCACCGTGAGGAAGGCGGGCAGCTGGAGACCTGCTGCTGCCCTGCAGATGAAGCCTCACTTTTGGGCCTTTGTGGAGACGAGGTGGAAGGAAGCAGTGGCTCTCTGCTGCTGCTATGAGCTCGTGGGGTGCATCCCATGCTCCCAGAATAGCACTCCCAGCGCTGCCCTCTCTTCCAGCCCCAACTTCTACATCCTGGATGAGCCGACCAACCACCTGGACATGGAGACCATCGAGGCGCTGGCGAAGGCGCTGAATAAGTTCCGGGTAAGGCGACATCCCCTTCGTTTTCCTAAAGCTCCCTGCGGCCTCCAGCTGGGGTGTCTCAGCCAGAGCCCCCCTAATGCCAGCTGTGCTCATTCCCTTCTCCATCGTGGCGTGTTGGCAGGGCGGCATCATCCTGGTGTCCCACGACGAGTGCTTCATCCGCCTGGTGTGCCACGAGCTGTGGGTCTGCGAGAATGCCACCGTCACCCGCATCGAGGGCGGCTTCGACCAGTACAGGGACATCCTGAAGGAGCAGTTCCGCAAAGAGGGATTCCTATAGGGCCGGGAGGGAGGGGGGGGCGCGGTGGCCCCCGGCTGCGCTGCTCTCTGTGCCCTCAGCCCGTGCGGTGCGAGGCCGGCGTGGGGCTGCGGGTGCTGCTCTGTGCTGGGACGAGGGAAGGCAGCGTGCCCCTCCACCGCTGTGCCCCACGCTGGGGGGCGGTTAGGGGGCAGCCCTACTCCTCTGCTCACCCCCCTTCCCCATCAGTGGTGTTCCTCTCCCCGCCCCCCGGCACAAAGCGAGGCCTTTTGCTGCTACAAGTGCCCCCCCCTCCCCCCACCCCTGGACGCGCGGGGGTTGGGGCGCGCTTTGCCTTTCCCCCTACCCGTCCCTGGGGCTCTGTACCCCCGGGGGGGCCCTCGGGGTGCCCGCGGGCACGGAGGAGCCCGCGGTGTAAATAAAACCGGAACGCTACGGGCGCGCTGCTCTCGTGTCTGTGAGGGCTTTACGTGGGGGGGGGGTCACCAAGCACCAAGCTTGGGGCACCGCGGGGCTCGGGGATGGGTCTGGGCTGCCNCCCGGGGGGGGGGGGGGGGGGGGGGGCTCGGCCCGCACCAGGCACCGCCCCGCCGCCCTCCCCGCCACCAGGTGGGCCCGCCCCTGCGGCCGGGGCGGTGCTGGCGGCCGCGCTCCGACCGGCGGCGGACACCGACGGACCGACCGCACCGCGCCGCTGCTGCTGCTGCAGAGCCGGGCGGCGATGAGCACCGGTGGGGAAGGAGGGCCGCGATCGGCGGGGAGCAGCCCCGTGCCCAGCCCCGGCTCCCCGGGGGGCGAGGAGGTGAGCGGGGTCCGG